GCACAACATCCTTGTCTCTAAAATGGAGAGACATGGATTTGATGGGTGGACCACTGGGTGGATAAGAAATTAGCTGGATGGTCGCACCCAAAGAGTTGCGGTCAACAGCTCAATGTCTGGGTAGAGACCAGTGATGAGTGGTGTCCCTCAGGGGTCTGTACTGGGATCAATATTATTTAACATCTTTGTCAGAGACATGGACAGTGGGATTGAGTGCACCCTCAGCAAATTTGCAGATGACACCAGCCTGAGTGGTGTGATTGATACTCTAGAGGGAAGGGATGCCATCCAGAGGGACCTTGACAGGCTAGCAAGGTGGGCCCGTGCAAACCTCATGAAGTTCAACAAGGCCAAGTACAAGGTCCTGCACCTGGGTCAAGGCAATCCCAAACATGGATACAGACTGGGTTATAAGTGGATTGAGAGCGGAGAAGGACTTGTGGGTATTGGTGGATGAAAAACTGAGTATGAGCTGGCAATGTGCACTTGCAGCCCAGAAAGCCAACCATGTCCTGGGCTGCATCAAAAGAAGTGTGGCCAGCAGGTCGAGGGAAGAGACTCTGCCCCTCTGCTCCGATCTCATGAGACCCCACCTGCAGCACTGTGTTCAGCTGAGGCCCCCAGCATAAGAAAGACATGGACTCTGTTGGAGTGGGTCCAGAGGAGGACCACAACAATGATCAGGGGGATGGAACCCTCTCCTATGAGGAAAAGCTGAGAGAGTTGGGGTTATTCAGCCTGCAGAAGAGAAGGCTCCAGAGAGTTATAGCAGCTTCCAGTACTTAAAGGGGGCCTAGAGGAAAGATGGGGAGGGACTCTTTATTAGGGAATGTAGGATGAGGGATAACAGTTTTAAACTGAAAGAGTGTAGATGTAGATTAGGTATTAGGAAGAAATTCTTTACTGTGAGGGCAGCAAAAAAGAAATTCTTCACTATGAGGGTGGTGAGACACTGGAACAGGTTGGCCAGGTAAACTGTGGATGCCCCATCCCTGGAAGTGTTCAAGGCCAGGTAGGATGGGGCTTTGAGCAACCTGGTCTAGTGGAAGGTGTCCCTGCCCATGGCAGGGGGGTTGAAACTAGATGATCTTGAAGGTCCCTTCCAAGCCAAAACATTCTATGATTCTATGATGCTATGACATTTACCGCCGCCTATTTCTGCAATGTCAAGTAAGACTGACACCAACAGCTCCTGCTGTTACTCTCTCCACCCTGGCTACACATTCCCTTGCAACACCACACACCTATAACAGGCAGGGACAGCTACAGGCAGACCCTCCAGAACCAACACGTTTACGGACTAGCTGAATGGTAATGACAGGCAAGTGCTGGGTAGCCTCCATTTGGCTAAGGTTGCAAACCCTGGGCTTCAACTGCAAGCACCTGGGAACTGTCTGATAGGGCGTGCCGCCAAGGGCTCCTGCATACTTACATCACTTGCAATGTCTCTGGAAGCTTTAGCAGACTTGATAGGAATGGCATCTGCCCGCATGTCGTAGCCCTTTTTCTTCTCTTCCTCCATCGCAAGCTTGTACAGTTTCTGAAGGAAAAACAAGCACTCCCCTCAAGCAACACTTCTTCCCAGGCCACAGCAGCGTCCAGGGACGCACACTTAACCCCAGCTCAAACACCTACCTCACTGAAGTTCATTTGGTTCTGCTGGGCTAGCAAAATACCAGGTGTATCCGGCATAATGTGAACGCTGGTTTTATCTTTCTCCCAGGCTGATGTGTACGAGCGCTGGAAAAATGAGTACACAACGTGAAATACGATCACGCAAGCACCGGGCAACAAACTCACAGAGCAAGCTAGCTCAACAAACTGAAGCAAGGGGCCTCTACTTCGCACTGACTCAGGAATGCCTTTTCCTGTCCCAAAACTTTCTAACGCTTCACCCTTTGCTTTTCCACACTGCACCCAGTCACCGCTCCAACCACACAAAATAGAATTTGGTCTAAAACAAGGAACACAAATCCCGGATGCAAAGGACGCAATACCCCACTTTGCAAAACCCAGGCCCTGGAAGGAGAGAGCCCAAAGTCCTGGGAAATGCACTCGTTTCCTTCAGGTTGCACACGCAAGGAAATCTCACTTGGTTCATAATTTCAGAGTTGTGCTTTGCCAGCACCATAGGCATCGAGTCAGGAATGCTCGTGAATTTGATGGTGTCCGGGTGTTGCCGATACCCCTTGTCACTCAGGATGAGGCCCGCCCTCTTATTCTTCTCATCGTCCAGCGAACCACTTGGGGACCAGCCAATGCCCCTCAGCCACAGAAGGTCGGACTTGTACACATTCTGAAAGGACAGCAAGGACACAAAGCAGCTCAGCAACCTCCTTGCTCCACGCAGCCACTCCTCCTACCGTGGCAAGCTCTGCCTACCAAAACACGTTCCCCTGGGTCAACCCACCAGCCACCACAAAAGGGACTCCCATTAAGCTCAGCCCCCCACAACCTGGCTCCCCACGCCTACCACAGCACAAGCACGTGCCAAGCAATCCACAAACCCTCCCTCACCATCTTCTTAGTCTCCCTGGAAAAGACCTGCCCCATGTGGCAATCTCCAGCTGGCAGTGGCACAGGAGGAGCCTTATACCGCATCACCTAATGCTCTTCATACCACTCACCACTGCACACGTGGCTTGCCTTTGCCCACTCTTGGTCTTCCAAAAGAAAGTATTTGACTCCGTTGCCCTTCCCCTGCCATACAGACCTCTAGCCCCCTGCCGCAACTCTCCCCCCACAATGCTCAAGGCAAGACAGGACTCTTCTGTGACCGTAAAGTATGACCCCACGCAAACTTCATCCCAGGCCATTCACGACATCAACTCTCAGCAAGATAGTACGGCTACAACACAGTCTCACAGCATCAGCCTAGACTTACATGCTCCCCACCCGGACCTTCTCCAACAGCGGAGCAGAACACAAGACAGACTGCTGGTTTCCACACTGCCAGTAAAGAATAACTTACATCACTCTGCAGGTCGTACACTTTCCTGGCTTGTACAACATCGTTCTGGTCCGGCAGACAGGTCCACCGATGCAGAGGGTGCTTGTAATCAATGTCGCTGACCAACTCCTGACATTTCTTGGCCAACACGATTCCCAGCATGTCCACTGGGCTACTGAAGTGTGTCTTCGTCTTCTCAAAGGCTTTCTTGTACTCCCTGTCACTCTGGATCTTGGCCACGTGCATCGACCACACCATCTTCGGATCATCCTCTATGTTACGGGCCCCTATGTGGTGGCCAAGCTGCTTGCGATAGCCTTCTTTGTATTTGTACTGCAGGGTTAAAGAAGCTCAGTAAGTTTCAGGCCAACTGTTCTCCCTTCTGACACTATTCTGTAGCAGTGCCTGTGAGCGAGCGCTTTGCTAATGGAGCCTGGCAAGATCACCACGTGAAGAGGCGTCCAAGCACAGCATATCCCTACTGTGTCCTACACTTCCATCCCACCCCATGCCTACGCTGGGCCACAGGAGGCACATGGAGGCCCAGACGGCAACTCCAACCAAGGTAGCTTGGGAACCAGGAGCGATGCATGACAGCAGACAGGGTCTCCACACAACCTAAGCATCCCCACGGAGAGGCCAGCTCTTCAGCTGGGATGCAAAACTCGGGGAAAACCCCCGGACCGCTCCAGCAGGCAACCTGGGCCTCATCCTGCACAGCCCTGACTGCACTCACCCACACAGCCCACAGCAGCTGACACACTCCGCTGCACCAGGCCCTCCTGCACAGTGCTCAGGAGTCTTATTCTCCCAGCCCCATGTGTGTCCTCAGCTGCAGACCTACAGCCACTAAGCCTGGGAAGTGGCAAGGGGCAACACGACACTTTTTTAGCAACGTGCATGTCAAGAGCTTATGGGTGAAAACTAGAGACCAAGCAAACAAAGGAAACTTTGTGATTGCTGTCTACTACAGGCCACCTGATCAAGGAGAGGGGGTTGAGGAAGTATTCCTTCTTCAACTGCAGGAAGCATCACACTTGCAGGCCCTGATCCTGATAGGGGAATTCAACCACCTGAACATCTGCTGGAAAAGCAGCACAGCAAACTGCAAGCAGTCCAGGAAACTACTGGAGTGCGTTGTGAACAACTTCCTAGTACGGGTGATGGAGAGCCTGACCACAGAAAAGGCACTGCTGGACCTGTTGCTCTCTAATGAGGAAGAACTTATCGAAGAGGTCAAGTTTGGAGGTAGCCTGGGCTGCAGCAATCATAGCCACTAAGCTTGGGAAGTGGCAAGGGGCAACACAACACTTTTTCCCTTGCCTCTTACTGAAATGTCAAGTAAAACTGCGGAGAGATTGAACTCATCTCCTTACAGTAAGGGAATAAACCCGAACTACAGAACCTGGCATAAGAGAGTAAAGTCAGCTACTGCAGAGCTAAGCCCTGAAGAGATACTCTGGGGCACAGTAATGACTGGCCTACAGTGACAGGACCTGCCCCCAGTCCAGACAGAAACGATAAATGCCCCGGTCGTAACACAAAACTTGGTTTGGGTTTTCTTTCCTAATGTCCAGCTCAGCTGTGTACCTGCAACATTACGGGTGTGCAGACTGGCAGTACTGAAGGCAGCACACGACCTCAAAAGTCCAGTCTGTTGCCTAAGGAGACGCTGCCACAAGCCCAGGAGGGACACTGCTTTGGATTATGTCCATCACCCAGCTCCTGCTGTTACTCTCTCCACCCTGGCTACACATTCCCTTGCAACACCACACACCTATAACAGGCAGGGACAGCTACAGGCAGACCCTCCAGAACCAACACGTTTACGGACTAGCTGAATGGTAATGACAGGCAAGTGCTGGGTAGCCTCCATTTGGCTAAGGTTGCAAACCCTGGGCTTCAACTGCAAGCACCTGGGAACTGTCTGATAGGGCGTGCCGCCAAGGGCTCCTGCATACTTACATCACTTGCAATGTCTCTGGAAGCTTTAGCAGACTTGATAGGAATGGCATCTGCCCGCATGTCGTAGCCCTTTTTCTTCTCTTCCTCCATCGCAAGCTTGTACAGTTTCTGAAGGAAAAACAAGCACTCCCCTCAAGCAACACTTCTTCCCAGGCCACAGCAGCGTCCAGGGACGCACACTTAACCCCAGCTCAAACACCTACCTCACTGAAGTTCATTTGGTTCTGCTGGGCTAGCAAAATACCAGGTGTATCCGGCATAATGTGAACGCTGGTTTTATCTTTCTCCCAGGCTGATGTGTACGAGCGCTGGAAAAATGAGTACACAACGTGAAATACGATCACGCAAGCACCGGGCAACAAACTCACAGAGCAAGCTAGCTCAACAAACTGAAGCAAGGGGCCTCTACTTCGCACTGACTCAGGAATGCCTTTTCCTGTCCCAAAACTTTCTAACGCTTCACCCTTTGCTTTTCCACACTGCACCCAGTCACCGCTCCAACCACACAAAATAGAATTTGGTCTAAAACAAGGAACACAAATCCCGGATGCAAAGGACGCAATACCCCACTTTGCAAAACCCAGGCCCTGGAAGGAGAGAGCCCAAAGTCCTGGGAAATGCACTCGTTTCCTTCAGGTTGCACACGCAAGGAAATCTCACTTGGTTCATAATTTCAGAGTTGTGCTTTGCCAGCACCATAGGCATCGAGTCAGGAATGCTCGTGAATTTGATGGTGTCCGGGTGTTGCCGATACCCCTTGTCACTCAGGATGAGGCCCGCCCTCTTATTCTTCTCATCGTCCAGCGAACCACTTGGGGACCAGCCAATGCCCCTCAGCCACAGAAGGTCGGACTTGTACACATTCTGAAAGGACAGCAAGGACACAAAGCAGCTCAGCAACCTCCTTGCTCCACGCAGCCACTCCTCCTACCGTGGCAAGCTCTGCCTACCAAAACACGTTCCCCTGGGTCAACCCACCAGCCACCACAAAAGGGACTCCCATTAAGCTCAGCCCCCCACAACCTGGCTCCCCACGCCTACCACAGCACAAGCACGTGCCAAGCAATCCACAAACCCTCCCTCACCATCTTCTTAGTCTCCCTGGAAAAGACCTGCCCCATGTGGCAATCTCCAGCTGGCAGTGGCACAGGAGGAGCCTTATACCGCATCACCTAATGCTCTTCATACCACTCACCACTGCACACGTGGCTTGCCTTTGCCCACTCTTGGTCTTCCAAAAGAAAGTATTTGACTCCGTTGCCCTTCCCCTGCCATACAGACCTCTAGCCCCCTGCCGCAACTCTCCCCCCACAATGCTCAAGGCAAGACAGGACTCTTCTGTGACCGTAAAGTATGACCCCACGCAAACTTCATCCCAGGCCATTCACGACATCAACTCTCAGCAAGATAGTACGGCTACAACACAGTCTCACAGCATCAGCCTAGACTTACATGCTCCCCACCCGGACCTTCTCCAACAGCGGAGCAGAACACAAGACAGACTGCTGGTTTCCACACTGCCAGTAAAGAATAACTTACATCACTCTGCAGGTCGTACACTTTCCTGGCTTGTACAACATCGTTCTGGTCCGGCAGACAGGTCCACCGATGCAGAGGGTGCTTGTAATCAATGTCGCTGACCAACTCCTGACATTTCTTGGCCAACACGATTCCCAGCATGTCCACTGGGCTACTGAAGTGTGTCTTCGTCTTCTCAAAGGCTTTCTTGTACTCCCTGTCACTCTGGATCTTGGCCACGTGCATCGACCACACCATCTTCGGATCATCCTCTATGTTACGGGCCCCTATGTGGTGGCCAAGCTGCTTTCGGTACGCAGTTTTGTATTGGTACTAATTGAATGCAGAAACAACAATTATCACCTCTTTTCAAGCTGCAATTTAAATTTCTCTCTTGGTAAGATAGTGGTTAACACTTACATATGAAATATATTTGAATTTTTTTTGTGTATTTTTCCAACATTTTTGGTGTTTTTATTGCATGTCCAGAAGATATTAACTGATTTTTTTAATAGTTATATACTATCTCATTGTAAATTTTTGTATTTAATTTAATTAACTTTACACCATTAAGACCAGAAGATAAACTGATTTTTTTAATAGTTATATACTATCTCATTGTAAATTTTTGTATTTAATTTAATTTTATTAAAATTTTAGACATCTGCTCCTTTTAAAAAACATCTTTATCCAAAAGTGTGTACCAGCTCTATGCCCCACTATTATTTTCACTCTGTAAGACTTACTTCACTAGCTATGTCTCTGGATGCCTTTGCTGACTTGAGGGGTATAGCATCAGGAGGAAGATCGTAGCCTTTCCTCTTCAGCTCTTCATATCCTAATTTGTAATGTTTCTGTTGGAGAAGGATTCAAAGTAATTATTGCAAATAAAGCTCTCTAGAGAGTATAAGATTTCAAACACAGTTTCATTCATCAAATTAAATTCCATGGCTTGCTTTTAATAATGTGTATTTTGTAACTGATGATAAAAAATGTTTAAAAATTACTATCTCTATGTTTTCTGATTAACTCATTCAAGATCAAAATTTTCTTTTACTTAAGATATTAATCTGAATGATTCATAGAGTCTTCTACATAGGTGAAAAATAAAACCCCATGATTCTCTACACCCAATTTCAATTGCAATTATTTTTGTCTTCTTGGGTTCTTATGATAGAGCTGCTAACATTTCTTTACCTTTGCATGTAGTCTATATTTGTTCCATTATAGGCAGGAATTTGATGTAAATTACATAATCCTATGTAATTCTAAAGCGGCAATTCAATATAATCAGGCATTTTAACAAGAATGACAGGCTTACTAAAAAGTACTGAACACATATCTACAATGTTAATAAGATCAGTAGGATGAAAGAGAAAACTGCTAACTTGTGAATATTTTCTTGGTATTTTTTATATTCTAGCAACTCTGCTTCCACTTTATATTTTAGCAATTCCACTCAGGCTTCCCAGTGCATAACAATTTTCACATGAAAAGATCACAGGTGTGCTTACAGCTGTTTGAATTGCAGAATTACTCTACTGCATTTTAAACTAAAGCCACAATGGGTAAATTCCAAATTCCTTGAAAGAAACATTGTAGAGACACACTTACATCACTTGTGTTAATTAAGTTTGATTTAGCCAGCAAAATTTCAGGAGTATCAGGCATGATGTGAACCTGAGTCTTGTCCTTGTCCCAAGCTTCTCTATACAGTATCTGAAAAGAGACACAAACAAAAATACCTTGTCTGATAGAAGGCTCACATGCATAGCAGTAAATTCAGTTTACCTTTTCTCTATAATAGCAAAGCAAAGATGTACTATGCAAGCATGAGCGATGTAAACAATGCAAGATATTAAAATAAAATAATACAACTTCTTACTGAAATACCTTTTTTTTTCTTTACATCCATGAAATGTCAAGAAAACAGTATTACGACAATACATTTACATACTACATAGTAAAGGGCCTTATTTGCAGTTATTACTGAATAAGTTATACAGCACTAAATACCTTAATCTTTTGAACAAGGCCTAGTACTTCTTGACAACTGAGCAGTAAGGCACTGATTGCAAACATCTGATATTTGTATATTTTAAGCACATGTTCTGATATGGAGATCTTTTTAACGAATATATACTAATGTATTCATTTATTGAATCACATGTTCTGTCTCTAGAGGCAACTTACATCACTTCTATTTTTGGCATTAGATTTTGCTAAAATGATATCCATGGCATCTGGGATACTTGTGAACTTAATAGTGTCTGGGTGCTGCCGGTACTTCTTTTCACTCAGTATTTCAGAAGCTTTCTTGTTCTTTTCAGATTCCAAAGATCCCAAAGGACTCCATCCAAGGCCTCTGAGCCATTGTAGATCTGACTTATACACATTCTGTCAAGGAAAAAATTCAAAACCATAGCAGATTATTTCCCTGTTCATTTATTAAACCATATTAAAAGACTAGCTGGTATTTCAGCTTCAGTCTGATCTATACTGACATCAAAAGAGAGTTATTAAAGATACTTTTCAATAAGCAGTAAATATCCTACAAAAAAATAAATTAGGTAAATCCAGAGGAAGCTTACATCACTCTGTAGTTCGTAGACCCTCTTTGCCTGGGTGACATCATTCTGGTCTGGCAGACAAGTCCAGCGGTGTAGCATCTGTTTGTAGTCTATATCACTAACCAGTTCCTGACATTTCTTAGCCAGAAGGAAGCCTAACATATCCACGGGCATATTAAACTTTGTCTTCCACTTTTCAAAATCTTTCTTGTACTCCCTCTCACTCTGCATCTTAGCTACTTGCATAGACCACATCATCTTAGGATCATCTTGTAAGCTGCGGAATCCAATGTGATGTCCCTGCTGCTTGCGGTAACCTTCTTTGTACTTGTACTAAAATTATAAAGGTTGCGTTATTGAAATTACAGTAAGAAACAGACAATGGTAAAATATATAAGCAAAATATCAATATAGTCATTCAGTTCAATATTTCTCATTACCAATTGTCCTGCAAGAAATGAGCAACTTGTTATGGCACCTCATGTAAAGGTTTAGTAGCCCCTTGATTAATGTGCATCACTTGGTGACAGTGAATGCTCTCCCTGGGAATGAACAGAGTCCCTGGAGAGGAAGAGTGCATGGCTATAAGAATGGTCTCCTGTGCCATCTGATTCATATAGTCATACTGTTCAAAACTCCCAAAGGCTGACATACTGAAATATTTTGATGAATAAAATAAATAGCAATGAAAAATGCAGATGCTTAAGCATTGGAAACATTTCCTAATGATTAATAAAATCTCTTCCATAAATGCAGGAGTTGTATTCATACCAAGTGATGATAACAGCAATACATGTGTCACCACGTCTATTTCAGAGTTGTAAAGAGGATTTCTCAGTACAGGCACTGGGATCAGCTAATTGGACCGAATTTGCTGCTGCTCTGAAAATGTAACATCCAAAGAGCAGACAAATCCTAACTTTGTATGACTAGCCACTTCATGGATGGACCACAATCTTTGGAATTGTCAAGATGCCAGAGCAACCCTTCTTAAATTGTTTTCTTCACTGACAAGAACAGATCAGGAAATTGTTTTGTCAGCAATTTTGCTTTTTACTCCAAGCCACACCTTAGCAGAGAGGTGTATCTGGATCTAGTGCGACTCTGTATATAGCAGAGTTATAGCATCTAGATAAAGTGCATGTCATATTGAATTAGAAATGTTGCTTACGTCACTTGCAATGTCCCTTGAAGCTTTGGCAGCTTTGACTGAAATGGCTTCAGGTGTGAGGTCATAGCCTTTCTTTATCATTTCCTCCCAGCCAAGCTTGTATAGTTTCTAAAATTGAAAACAATATTAATTAAAAAGTCTTAGTAACACGTATGTCACCTTCTATTTAGATATGCTAATGATCCATATTACCAAATTCTGGTCACCTCACAGGCTTCAGTTATGAGAGAAGGGCTACTAAAATGGGAACTGAGAAATGGGGAACTGATAAGCAAAGAACACACGTCTTCCAAGTCTTAGGCCAGTGATTAAATAGTTTTTCTTTACTGCAGCAGCTTCCTACTATAGCTTGTCTTGGGGATTTGAAACATATCTGGGGAATTTGAAATATATACATCTGGGATAACTGAAAACTTTTCAATTGGCTTAACAAAATTTTAATTAATAAGGCTGTAATGTAGCCATTTAATAGTCAATTCAGTTTGTGCACAGTTGATTTTAAGTACCAGCACTTGCAAGTCAAAGATTTGCCTCTGAGCAATCATGCAAAGCAAAACCTAGTATTTTATACTGGCACAATTGTCACTTTCTCATATTTGAAAGCTGATAGAAAAGTTAGAATCACTGCATGTATTTCTTTTCCCATATGCTAAGTTAAAAATATATACAATGAACTTGTAATTTTATAGTAAAGAATTTTTAACATGATTGATTTCTATGGTAAGCATAGCGTATGGACTATGCATATCTAGATTTCAAAAACAGGACTTATATTTTCCATATATTATAATGTAATTTAGGCTGTTACTTTGCTAGCCTGAAGATGGTACTTATTGCTACTCTGGAAATATTACTCATAAAAATTCTTGCCTCTGTTCTAAATCCCCCATTCCGTTTCTTCCAATTTATACAAATTAATTACTTCTTTTGAAATGGGAGGCACCTTTAAATTTGAAGAAAGTAGATATTAATTTAAAATGTAATAGGAAGTATTAAAAAACTCTACCTGACTGTAGTTCGCCTTGTTCTGTTTTGCTTGTAGAATATCTGGTGTATCTGGCATCACATGAACTTGAATTTTATCCTTCTCCCAAGCTTGAGTATAAGCATGCTATTGAAAAAGTAACATCAGATGTGTTAATTTAAATGACAAAGGATGGCTTTCACCCTTCCATTGGCACACTTTGGATACGGATGGGTAAAAAGATGAAGGTGCTGACTTAGATTTATTTTACTATGTAATGACCTAATCCAGAATCAGCTGAATTAGGATCCAGTCTTGCTTCTAATGAAGCCCAACTATCAAGATTTTCAGGGCCAGTAATTTCTACACAAGAATGAGAAGAATAGAGGTTGGAGAGGTAGCAATGAGAAAAATGAGAAAAGATTTATTTAACCGATGCTATTTATCAGTAACTGAGTGTTCCGTTGAGAAAAAAAATGAAAAAAGAGGAACCTGTAAGTGACAGTTGTTTTTCCCAGGGAAACACTGCTACATAAAGGTGGTGACAGAGACTTATAGACTGTTTCTTGAAATGGATTATATGTGAATGTCTGCCTAATTTTCCCCATAAATACTCACTTTGTTCATTATATTTGCATTCTGCTTTGCAAGGACCATGTCCATGGCATCATTCTGTTTTGTAAAGGGGAACATGCTGGGGTGCTGGCGGTAATTCCGATCACTTGCAATTTCTGTGGCTTTCCTAGATTTCTCCACATCCAGAGAACCAGCAGGACTCCAACCAACACCCTTGAACCACTCATTGTAATCCTGCTTGTACTCATTCTGCCAAACAGAACACAAAAGGAAAGTTTACAATTTATAAATGGCTCATACAAAATAATTCCGTTGTTTCCAAAACACAGCCATAATGAAAAAACAGGAAAAAAAAGTCACAGCTGTGAATGACAGAAAGAAAACAGAAACTTACGTCACTTTGTATCTGATTCATGTTTCTGTACAGTTCTAAACTCATTGCATCTGGCAGAAGCATATAGTTGTGAATCAGTCGTTTGTAGTTAGTATTGGTTACACGATCTTGTGCCTCCTTAGCTGCCACAATGCTGAGTGTATCAGAAGGCGTTTGGTAATGTGTCTTGCTCATCTCATAAGCTTTCTTGTATTCACGATCAGACTGCATCTTAGCCACTTGCATATAATGGACAAGTTTGGGATCATCCTGAAGGCTGCGGAAGCCTACAAGTTTTCCCTTGTCTTGTTCATAACCTAATTTGTATTTGTACTGTAAAGAGAACAGAGACAGAGACTTTAATTCTACTTCATGTGTTTAATAAGCAATATCTATCTTGTAAGGAAAAAAATCCCAAAACTTAGATTAAAATAAGATTTTTACATTGTTAAGAAAACATCACAAAGCATATAGAGGTGGTGGCTTTGTCCACCAACTCTTAGGGTGCACTCTAAAGCAAAACAGATGTCTAGCATCCCTTTTAAAAGCAGTATATTTAAAATATTTTCTTAGTAAATGAAATTTCCTTACAATAGTTTATTCTGCTCCTGCATAAGGTTCAATGTAACCCAGGGTTCAATTGCTTTCTAATCTCATTATAAATGACACAATGAAAATATGACACATACTGACAGAAAGCAAAAGGCAAAGGAACACATAAGATCTAGTTTGCTGAAGACAGTTCTTCGGAAAAAGTGTACTTGTTATTCTTTTCACACTATAGTTTAGAGACAGCTCATCTTAGACCTAATATGGGTATCACAAACACTAGAACCAGGGTACATTAACCCACACAGTTCTCTGTTACTATTGCTATCCTGCATCCAATATTTGGCTTAGGTAACTATTTTCATGGTAGTCTGCACCATACTCAGAATACTTGAGTTCATATCTAAAGACTAACCATAAAATCAAAGATCTCATCATTACTTCCATTAGGTTCACTTATTCAAATGATTAAAAAATTCAAGACACTTCCCAAGACCTTTTGCATTTGTTTGTTTAATAAAACCAATGGTTCAAATTCTTAATCCCTTCCTCAATCTCTAATCAACCCTGGACAATGAACTACACAGACCAAGTATCAATTCCTTTTTCCTTCACTGCTTACTGCTTGGAGAGAACTCAGAATGGACGTATCTTCCCCTCAGACTTAGAGCAGTGACAGAGCAAATTGACTTTGCAGTGGCTGCAACATCCCCTATGTTGTAAAAAAAAAATAATGGTGGGCTAAATAACATGTCCTTAGCCCTAACTTCACCACTCTCTCAGGGAATCTCAGCAATTCCCTGATACACAAAGGATTTCAGAATGGTCCTGATTCCAGAAGCTTGTATTCTCTGCACCAAGAAATTTAATGGGACTTTCACCGAAGGAATAAAGATAACTGTACTGCAGCAGTGAAAATAATTTAAGTCCATATCTGTTCTTTTCAAATATTTCTAAGAATGATCCCTGAACATTCTGTCTAAACTACAAATATACAACATACATTTATAAAGTATTCAAGCACCATCACACGGAGGAACGAACTCCCTTATTTTTTTTCTAAGAGTCTCTCATATATCTCCTTACCTTTCTAACACAGAAATTGTTCTTTAACCCTGTTAGAAAATGTACTAGAATATATATCCAATATGTCAGAATTATTTACAAGCAAGAGAAAAAAGAGACTTCATATAATAGGCATATAAAATTGAATTGTGTCAAGAAATGAATGTTTTACAATATCTGAAATGAATCATTTTTTCTTTCAGGAACTTACATCACTAGCAATATCCCTAGAAGCTTTGGCAGCTTTAATAGGGATAGCATCAGCTCTGAGATCATACCCTTTCTTCCTAGATTCTTCAAATGAAAGTCTGTACATTTTCTGTGAAAAGAAAAGAAACATCCTTTAAAAAAGCAAAACACACCACACTTACTTAAATAAAACTCTAATCATTTTGTACGATAACTTGAAACACAGACTATTCATATGTTTAACACCCCTTGCACAGTTGTTTAGGGCACTCAGGCACACAGAGAGATGCATACTCCTTCAAAATTAACTCCAATCCTAGTATTGATACATCAATGCAGCTGGACTGCACTATCATTAGTAACAATAACCTATGACAAAAGCGGAAGAAATTGCATGTTTCCTGCATGCACAAATATTGGTGAAAAGTTACATCTGTAAGGATGTCAGCTTTTAAAAAAAGGAGATAAATATGTCTATTTCTGTGTATATTAAAGATGTGCACAATTACAAACAATGCTTTATTTAGCATATGCAGATTTAACAACTGGCTACTGAAAAACTCTCTGTAATATCATCTGTTACCAAAAGAGTAAGTTCAATCTGCAAGAAAGAATTTTGAATCCAGTACGAAACTTTGTGCATGGGGAAATAAAACAATAAATACAGTAACAAACATGGATAGTACTCAAACTCGACTATTTTGTTAGTAACTATTATATTTTAATTACCTACATGAACACTTCATAATCTGACTATAAATACTATGGCTTTTTTTTTGGCAACTTTTGGTATTTAATTTTGGGGAAGGAAGCAGGAAAAAGGAAAATTAATAGCTTTTTGTGAAATTACTACAGGTTAGCAAAGTGAGAATTAGGGAGACACTTGTATGCTGTCATCACAGTTATTCCTAATAAAAAATATAAGAAGAGCAATGCCTTTGTCTTACAAACAGTACTCACATCACTTAAATTAAATGCATTAACTTTTGCTAAAGCAATCTGTGGAATATCTGGTGTGATGTGAACTTTCTTTTTGTCTTCTTCCCATGCTTGTTTGTACTTATGCTGGAAGGATAGAAAAAAAGAGATGTCAACATAACCAAAAAATTAAATAAAACAATTTAAAAGGATATTTCCTATCTGAAATATAAACTTTCTTTACAACGATGCAACTATTAACATGGTAGGAACATTTGTCTTTTTATTTTAGCACTTAAAAGCAGCGTGAATCAGGAATAGCGCTTATGAAGTTAATTGTGAGGCTGAAATAAAAGTGGAAGAAATACCAGTCTTGCTGGAGTATTTTATTACTTGTCTCTTGCCCAGCAATGTATTCAAGCATATTCAACAGCAGAAAACAATAGGTTTCAACATGTACTGGGTCTGGCTGGGATGGAGTTAACCCTCTTCATAGCAGCTCGAACAGTGCTGTGTTTTAGATTTGTGACTAAAACAAAGCTGATAACACACTAATGTTTTAGCTGTTGCTGAACAGTGTTTGCACAGTATCAAGGCCTTCTCTGTTTCTCTCTGCCCCCGCAGTGAATAGACTGGGGGGTGCGCAAGAGGTTGGGAGGGGACATAACCAGGCAGATGAACCTAACTAACCAAAGATATACTCCATGCCATATAACGTCATGCTCAGCAAATAAAAAGAGGGAGGAGGGGGCTTAGGGAGGTTGGACATCTTTTGCTCAGGAACTGGCTGGGCATCAGTCTACCTGTGGGCCGTGGGAGGTGATTGCTTTTGCTTCACTTGTTTTTTGTTTTCTTTCTCTCTTCTTCTACCTTCTACTTGCTATAAAAAGAGAGAGGAGGGGTCTTAGGGAGGTTGGACATCTTTTGCTCAGGAACTGGCTGGGCATCAGTCTACCCGTGGGAGGTGGTGAGTGATTGCTTTTGCTTCACTTGTTTTTTGTTTTCTTTCTCTCTTCTTCTACTTCTCCTTTGCTTATGAAACATTTTTTATCTTGACCCACAAGTTTTCTTGCTTTTACGCTGCTTTTCCTCTTCCCCCATCCCACCGAAGGGGAGGGGAGGAAGTGAGCGAGTGGCTGTGTGGTGCTTAGCTGCCTACTGGGGTTAACCCACAACTAAAAGCCAAGTCAGAAGGTATACAAAAAAAATTGTTAGAGGTGGAAGATTATTAGTTTATCTCCTGGAAGATAAGTATCAGTTGAGAGAGGTAATAGAGCTTTACTTAGAGGAAATAGAGCTCAGGAAAGTGCGCATAAGATTCTGATGGTCCCTGTAACTACAGTGCACATGAACTCTAGACATTTCTAAAGAACACCAGCAGATTACATCAGTTCAGCAGGAGAATCAGAAAATAAAGATCTCATTATAAAAGCATTCACATCATGCAGCAATTTCATATTAATGTAACAGGCATCGGATGAAACAGACCATACATTTAAAAGTCTAAATCCTGTTTCCGAAAGAGATCACTCCAGTATTTTTAGCCCCTAGATTTAAACAGCTAAAAGTCTATAATCAGTTATCTTGGGTAAATTTTATTAATAAAATGTGACCCCCCAGGTCTGTCTTTATACGCATTTCTTAGAAATATTAGGGTCATGCTTTGCTTTCAGGTATATTAAAGATTCGTTAAGACAAAATACAATTACAATCAAGCATACTCATTAGCTGCCAAAATTGATGATTTGCAAAGCTATGCATACAATAAGATTGACTATTACATCAGGTATAGTTTATTTCTTACTTCTGCAAACTTAAAATGAATTTTGATGAACACTTTCTTACCTCATCCATCATTTTAGCATTATTTAAAGCTAAGACCATGTTCATGGAATCCATAGGAACAGAATAGTTCAACTTGTCTGGATGCTGGCGATACTTCTTTTCACTAACAATTTCCATCGCTTTTTTGTTCTTCTCAGCTTCCAGGGAGCCCAGTGGCATCCATCCAACACCCTTCATACTTTCATCATATTCTGCTCTGTATTGATTCTGAAAGCAGAAAGAAAAGAAAATAATCAGATGCATGAAAAAGTCTGTAAATCATGACACTTCTTTCTGTGTTTAATGAATATTAGATTTTGAATGCACTTACTCTAAAAAGAGGCAAACAGTATCAAGATGCATTCAAGGTTTATTTAGAAACGCATTTGTTACAGTGGTGTCTATTTTATTGCTTTGCCTTTTATACAGTGTTCAGATCCTCCTTATGATGTATATAGACTGCTCGCATGAGATTACATGCTAAGGCCCTCTTGAAGAAGAGGATTATCTTGAACCACTATACTGAGAAAAAAAGGCCCTCTTCTCTAGAGGTTAAACATCCCAGAAAATCTGAGAATATAGCTACTTAGCTGGTTTCCCCTTCTTCTGCAAAGATATCTTTTTGGAAGTACAAGATAAAGCTATTAATGAAAAGTGAAGCTTTTCCTGTCTTGGCCTGCACACAAGTATTGCTCCTGAAGAGCCTGATGGGACATGTAAGCAGTAAATATCCATTTTACTTTATACATAAATTTACTTATTTCTGAGCCCAAATTCTTTAGCAGTAGGCGTAATTTAATATTTCAGAGTCTTAGAAAAATACAATGGCCATCGTTGCTGAAGGTCTCATTTCATTTACTACATTTTAGTATATAACTGAACTAATTTCACTAAGAAAATAGTACTATTTATCTTACAGTATGCTTTCATAAACTAAGCATCATTGTGTTCCTAATGCAAAGGTTGAAGAATCTCTCACTTACATCACTTTGGATCTGCATCATGGTTTTGGCCAATTCAAGACTCATAGCATCAGGCAAAACATTGTAGGTATGGATCAAGTTTTTGTAGTTTGTATTTGTAGCCGCTTCCTGTGCTTTCTTGGCTGCCACAACACTGACCATGTCAACTGGAGTATGGAAATTAGTCTTTGACTTCTCATAATCTTTTTTGTATTCACGGTCAGATTGCATTTTAGCCACCTGCATGAAGTGCACCAGCTTGGGGTCGTCTTCAAGGCTGCGGAACCCAATATGCTTTCCTTTCTCTTTTTCGTAGGCTAGTTTGTATTTATACTGACATCAGGAAACAGAAAGAACAGCAAAAACTTAAATTAAAAAAAACTGTATTATTAAGCTCAATTTTATCTCTAAAAACATAGAAAATATTTTTGCTTTTTCATCACAAGGTCTCAGGTTTAGTCATTTAAACATACTCAGTCTTACAAAAGACTCCATTGAACACAGGCACATGAAGCTCAGCAGCTTGCTGAACAAAGAGCAAAAAAGCACAATTCAGTGTTATTCCACTGAATAACAGTACAAAAGAGCAAGTACTGCAAAGGTTTATCCCACCAAGCATATAATTGAAAACTAGATAACTCAAGATGCTTGAAAAACCACATTTGTGCATAACAGAGCACTTTGAAAACATTCTGATTGTCTTTGTAGCTACTCTGAGTACTATCACGCAATCAAACTTACATCACTTGCAATGTCTCTGGAGGCTTTGGCTGCTTTTATTGGAATAGCATCTGGCTGCATGTCATAACCTTTCTTCTTGTCTTCCTCCCATCCAGCTTTGTATAGTTTCTAATTGAAAATGTAAAAGAGAACAGGTACTATATTATGAAGGCAGAACTACTGAATTTAAATATTTTCAAAAAAGACATTAAAATTACACCAATTTTTTGATCTATGCCACAGACATTGAATGCCCACTGTGAGCATGATAACTCACATTACTCATTGTGATCTGGTTCACTCTAGACTGCAGAATTTCTGGAGTATCTGGCATAACATGAATGCTGGTCTTCTCTTTGTTCCATTTATCGGTGTAGAGCCTCTGTAATTACAAAGTAATATTTAGCATTGAAAAGGCATTGCGCTCATAAAATAAGAGCTTGGTTTTGTTTTGGTCATTTGTAATAAATAATATTTTACATTAATATATATATAAATGTAATATTTAACTGAAAATTTTCAGTCTGCATTCTTCCCTGCTTAAATGCAAAGCATAAAACATTTTTTTTCCCCACACACCCTCTTTCCATAGCAAACATGAAATAAGGATCAGTGGTGTCCCAGATAATTAGGGACAAATTTAAAAAGAACTCCACTTTTCAAGGAAACTTGTACAAAAATGCCAGAATTTCAGGGTGTCCTGGTTTCGGCAGGGATAGAGTTAATTTCTACACAATACACAAAAGAGAAATCTTTAATCTTTATAAACAGAAAATGAAACTCCCTTAATTATGAATACAGTCAGAGGCTTCCATCATCTCTTAGTGTCCAGTCTTAACCAAGCAAACCACTATACCCATTTGAAATTCTAATGACTTCAGCGGGAATGGACCTGCCCCACAATTTTGCAAGACAAAGACCCAATCTCTGGCTCAGTCATGACCATCTGAACAAATTCTCACCTTATTCATGGTCTTGGCATTTTGCTTAGCTAGCACTTGTTCCATTGCATCCATTGTAATAGAATACTTCAGCTTGTCTGGGTGCTGGCGATAATTCTTTTCACTGAGAATCTCTGTAGCTTTTTTGGCCTTTTCTACATCCAGTGACTGAATTGGTATCCAGCCAACTCCTCTCAACCAGTTATTAAAGTCTGCTTTGTACACATTCTATTAAAAAAACAAACAAGGAAAAACACAGAGAGACAAGGAAAATTAGAATGCCCATATACATAAAAACAGGTAAGGCCTTAAAACTTCTCCTGGTCATTCATTTTTGAAGGAAAATTTAGACAAGCCTGTTAGAACTGCTATTGTTTTCCAAATTCTTAGCACAACATTAACAACTATTGATGTGTTAGGGATAAGAAAATGCTTTTCATTAAACCAATGTGTAGAACTCACACTACAAACCAAATGCACAGACCTTAGAACAAATTTTGAGTGGTAAATATGAAAATCTGACAAGAATATAATGACTTTTTTTAAATGATGGTCTTCTTTGTTAGTAGACTCAGTTTGCAGTAGAATTAATTTAGCAAAATTGTTTCAACAACTGCTTAATGGCCTGTTCTGCACAATCTTGAATAGACACCATTCTTATTTAATCATACTTTATAACATGGCTTTTAGAACAGATAAAGGTACAAAAATGCTGTGAAAATAAAACCTGTTCCTGAACTGCAGTGTTAGAAGTAACAGGGAGAATATCAGAGTCTGAGAAAAAGACCACATACGTTCATAGCATGTGTATTCAGGGCAAAATTTGTCCTCAAGTATCACGCTTCTCTCCTAGCAAACATCCTGAGTTAGACAGCCAAGCAAACTCAGCCAACTCAGCAAGGCTAGGTAAAAATACAATGGGGAAGCAAAAAACCTGAGATGCAAATTTCTGCATTTGAAAAGAACAGTGTCTAAAGGTCAGATCCTCTATCTGTGGGCCAGTGGGAACATACACATTATCCTCTCCAAACAATGCTTAGAATCTGAAGAACATTTTCAATCAGATTATTAATGTTTTTGGGAATTTCAAATTTGTCAGAGGACTTTTAAATAATGCAGATTAAACTAAATACTTTCTGGATAAACAAGTAGACCCTAAAGTTACACTAGTGAAAAAAAATGGAAACAAGTCATAAAACTTAATGGAAACTACAAAGCTTTTTTATGAATCCTTATCATGCATGGCATATGCACCTGTTGGAGGATAAAGGCAGAAAGGAAAAGTGAACAAAATAATACATCTCAAATCCCTAGGTATAATACAAACATACATAATGCATATTTTCGGTAAACTTAAATAAAATATAGTCAGAATTTAGACTCTGTACATAACCTACGATCTCTGACAATACAAATAATCACAGTAATAACACACTGTAATTACAAATCCAACTACAAAAATACACAAATTAGAAAAACATGTTCATTTGCTGAGAATTAGCCAAATATGTAGAGATACAAAGAAAGTTGTTACTTGCTAGGTAAGTTCCCTAGAACTTAGCAACTACACATAATTCTGATAATCTTTGGAAAACACAGCGTTCCAGACCAGACATTTATATCTCAATCTACTGTTAATCCAATATAGTTCATTTTTTAGCCTTAAAAGGTTAACAGTGTAACACAGTCATTATGAGAAGAAAAAAATGAGCTGATTAATCATTACATACATCACTCTGAAGCTGCATCACATTTCTTGATAGCTCCAGACTCACAGAATCAGGCAAGAGTGTATAACTGTGAATTGGCTGTTTATAGCCAGCGTTTGTAACTGCTTCCTGGGCTTTCTTGGCAGCTGTCACGCTGAACATATCCAAAGGAGTATGATATTTGGTCTTGGTGACTTCGTAGTCTTTCTTGTATTCACGATCTGATTGCATTTTGGCCACATTCATGTAATGAACAAGTTTAGGATCATCCTGCAGGCTACGGTATCCAACCTGTTTGCCTTTATCTTTCTCATATGATTCCTTGTACTTGTACTAGAGACAAAGGAAAAGAAAGCCTTACCCACTTTGGAAAGAGAAAACATACTTTGGATAATTTTAATACTTTGAAACTCAATATTTTAACAACTGCAGTTCATTCTATAAACTCATAAATTGTTTTTCAGACAGCACAGGATTATTTAGGTAAAAAAAAGAAGAGGATTGCTGGATTTCTCAGCTTGTCTTGACCCCTGGTATAGATCTAAATCTAGACACGCAGTTACATGCCCTCCCTCACCATTGCCTCTGCCATATTATATTTTACTGCCATAGACTTCTAACTCCCAGGAACATTCAGCTTTTAATTAAAAGACTAGCATAATAATGTATTATTGAAAAACCCAAGACTACCAAACAACTGGATATCCCAATGTTCAGCTACTGGGGGGAGGCATGTTTAAGTGGGGAATGGAAGCCATTTGCAGCCTTTTGCTAAAGTTAGTGAATTTATTTCTGTGTTCCAAATCTCCTTTCATAGCTTGTGTCAGACGGCACACAAAGCTTTACTGCTGCCAATTGACATAGCTGCCTGAAAACAGCCACATTTCTGTACAGCTCATGAATGCTAGAGAAGTCAAAGTACAGGTCTCCAGCAATTAAGAATACAGCTAAATTATGACAAAGGAACTTTCAAATAAGTTGGTGAATACTTGAAGCACGTACAACAAATAGCCCCAGCTCACCAGCACTCACACACGTTATGATGCATTTCCAAAGAAACAGGCTTTTTTGGAGGTTCATGTAAACATCTGAATTCACTTGTTATTTCACAGTATAATAAGAGTTTCAAGTCTCAGAGTCAAGTGTATCTATACCATTATATGTATATAGCATATGCTCTATAGCATAATATGCTACAGAAAGCTGCAATGCAGTAGATGTATGTATTCCACTTCCATGTAAATTATACTTACATCACTTGCAATATTTCGAGAAGCTTTAGCAGCAATAATAGGAATAGCATCTGGTTTCAGATCATATCCTTTGGCAATGGTTTTTTTCCAGTCTGCTTTGTAGTTAGCCTTATAGGGAAAAAAGGTATGAGTTCGCAATGTTACGAGTAGCAATTTTAAACAAAGTTGTTCAAGCCCATATTTTTGTTATAGTTATAGGAGTCAAAATATTCAGTTTAGTCTGTGCAATTTCAGGGAAAAATGTTAACCTGTACACAAACTACAGTTATATGATGATAAATAAATCTACTATAAATCTACTACTTCAAGACAATCAGTTTAATTCATGTAGATAGGAGAGTACTTCAAGACAATCAGTTTAATTCATGTAGCTAAATCATTAACTCCATAAGCATTTTTTGCAATTTTTATGCAGAACAACTCTGTCAGTCGCATTTCTGCCCTTGCTTAAGCAACCCCCTTTTTCATTTGACTGAACCTTCAGAAATTTTTTCCTGTTAGCTTCAAAATCAGGCCTTGTGGTCTTAAGTGACTGAAGAAAGCAGTCTGGCTGATTTTTTGTTAGCAGTTAGCATCTGGACAGACTAATAGTATTTCAAGGCTTTCTACAGGATGGGGTGAAAGGAGATGTCAGCTTTTACCTAGTTCCTGGAGGCCTGATAATGCCACCAAAAAACTTAGTATCATGAAGGCAGTAAAACTGATACTATCAGTAGAGATCTTTATGGTGTTGGATGGATGCAAGAAGTGATGGAAAGCAGGCAGACTAGTAGCTGAATGGCAGAAAAAGGCATTACTATCTTTCCACTGGATGAGTTAATTCCCTTTGAAAGCCCAGCAGCAGGAAGCAACATACAGAGAACCTGTACTGCTTGCCTATGCAATGTGTTTTATATAAAAGTAGATGACCTAGGTCTCCAAACCTATAGGAATTTGAATAATAAGTCATGCTGGTTTTTTCATTCAGTCTATCCAAGTAGTTTGGCAATAAAGCACTGAAATGTATTTATGCTTATGAGTGCTCAGTTTAAAACTTTGCTTAACAAGCACAAAACTCATTGACTTCTAGAAGTAAAAGTTTAGCTGAATTCAGAGCTTGTGCATTTCTATATTCAATATCATAGAATGAATAAATAAAAGTTATTTTTTCTATTAAGTAAATGACAAATAAATATATTATTGAACAAACTATTGGTTATATGCTCACATCACTCAAATTGAAGGCGTTGACCCTGGCTTGAATAAACTGAGGAACGTCAGGATCCAGGGTGTATTTGTGTTTGACTTTTTCACCCTCTTGCTTATATGTTACCTGCAAGGAAAAATAAACAAATATTTGTTGACAAGTACAAGGTAGGTAATATTAGTGTTAACCAACAGAGGCAATGCAACAATGCTTAATTCTTTCCAACAAATTACAATTTTACTATTTTTACAGTTTTTAAAATTTAAAGGTTTTTTTTAGATGGAATACCAGACAGTAACATAGATCATAAATATGGTAAAAAAATAAAATGACTATATTGCATTAATAATGAAAAATTCCTTACATCACTCAGTTGCTTGGTGTTGTGCTGAGCTAAAACCATTGGTATTGAATCTGGTATGCTTGTAAATTTGATGGTGTCTGGGTGCTGACGGTATTTCTTTTCATTTAATGCATCTCCAGCCTTTTTAGCTTTTTCAACATCCAAAGAACCGAGAGGACTCCATCCAATACCCTTGAACCAGCTGTTATACTCTTGTTTGTATGCATTCTGAAGGAGAGAAAGCCAACATGCACCAAGATTTTCCCACAGAACTGTAATAATTCTGTTTAAAACAATAATAGTATAGTCTAGCTAGGGTGTTCTACATTAGCAGGAAATAGTTATAAACTCTTGAAGGGAACAACAGATATTTTTTATGCTTCTCTGTGATTTCATAAAGAAGAAAATGAGCTATTCTCTCTTCATGATTCACTTCTTATAAATTGTAACATCCCTCCAGTGTTTACTAACCTTCCTTTTCTTTAACCCATGTGAAAAATTTCACCAACCTTCAATTCTTAATAACTTTTAAACTACTACATGGTGACCGTTTAACATGGTTTAATTTGTTCTGTGTTTCAGCAGAGTCTATGAGACTTGGCCTTATACAAAAGTCCACAGAGCAGAGGCTCAATTTTTGGTTTTCTTTCTATAGTTCTTCCTACAGTAAAATATGCAGAATTCACAGACTGCAAGTGAAAAATTTATCCTGGCTACAAAATATGCAGAAAGTTATCCCATAGAAACATTCAGGCAGGGTTAATGCACAGTCTGAATGCAAGGATATTGTGGACACTCTTTTTTAAGACCTTTCCATGTTCTAACTCTAAAATGAGTGATCCTCCATAGGGATCCATACAGAGTCAACTTCCACAGTATACAAAGAGGTGCAGACTGCAACCATGTATGCCCAGTCAACCATTTGAAACTCTGTATCTGCAAGAAGGACCGAGAAGGTCCTAGGAGAGATCTCCTATGCTAGAGATCTCCAGAATGTATTTCTAATAATATCAATAGTTACATTTTGTCCACTGCTTCATCCTAAATAGTTAATAATAGTCCAACCATACTATCATATCTATCTCGTGGGAAGACAAAGTAAGACAACTTAAAAGAAGTCTTAAAGAATAAAACAAAATTATGTTAGTTGAAAAATAAAGTTTTCTGAGAAAATGTGAAAAAAAAGTTCATTTGAATTCAATATTCCAAAACTCTGATCTCCACTGATATGCCAACATCAAAATCCTGTTGAGTAGAACTCAGCTGGAATTTGGTATTTCTAAATGCCACCAGCAGCTGATAAAACTTCTAACTGTCTTCCCCAAGACATAAGAAAAACAGACAATTCCTACACAGTAATAGCAACTTTCTTTGAATATAAACTTGTATTTTATTTTTCACAGTGAGCAGGAAAACATCAATGAAATTGTAATCATTGAAATACTTACATCACTCTGAATTTGCATCATGTTCTTTGCAAGCTCAACATCCATGGCATCTGGCAGGTACGTGTAGTGATGGATCAGATTTTTGTAGTGGGCATTAGAAGCTACATCCTGAGACTGTTTAGCAGCCTGGATACTGTACATGTCAGGAGGTGTATGATAGTTAGTCTTGGTCTTCTCATAGTCTTTCTTGTACTCACGCTCAGACTGAATCTTTGCTGCATTCATGTAGTGGACAAGCTTAGGGTCATCTTGCAGGCTTCTGAAACCAACCTGTTTCCCTTTAGCCTTTTCATATGCTTCTTTATATTTATACTAGAAACAGAGGGAAGAGATCAAATGTACTATGGTATAGCTATTGATGTCTACACTAATGCAAAAGAAAAGAAAAGAAAAGCTCTCATGACTTTCATTGGAAAAAGAAGCTGCAAGCAGTTCAGAAAGATAAACTCTCCTGAATGGCACACCCAGCGACTGTACCTACATTAGCTTTTCTTGCTCCACCATCTAGGCCTGTACACAACAGGTTACACACACCACAGTAAGATTTCTCAACATTAGCTTTTCTTGTAAGGAAGGGAAAACATTTCCTAAGCATTCCTGTGTTGAAAGGTGTATGAAAAATATCAGAACAATTGAGACAATCCTTCTCAGTTGTTTGAAAGCAATAGCAAACAAATGGAATATGACTGGACAGCTTCCTCTAGTTACATGAAACCACTGAAACATACCCACTTTATGCGATTTGCACTACAAGGCCTTCGGATTCATGTATAAGCCATACTCCACTGTATAACCAAAAGCACCCTTAGCACATATTGTCTTGTGGTCTGTAAATAGGTGCTAATGTAGTGTATTTTCTGGAAATTTGTCACAGAATGATTGCAAGAACTACTGATTTCATTTCTCCTGTGAAAAGTGGGTTAAGAAACACAGTGCAGTAGCATTTGCCTATCTAAAGCAAACAAGATGAGCATAAAATAAGTTCTACACAAACTAAGCCTTTGGGAAAGACTAAGAATCTCTTTCTCATAATACTGACTCTAGTGAGACTTGTGCAACATATGAGGTCTACCATATGGCCTGTAATGGACAACTTTTTTACTAAATGCCTAAGAAAAGTATACCTGGAATAGATACTTACATCACTAGCAATGTTTCTTGAAGCCTTGGCTAGAGTAATTGGAATAGCATCAAGTGACACATTGTTCCCTTTAGCTATTAGATCATGGTAGCCTTGTTTATAATATGCCTAAAAAAGAAAATCCGTATTATTCTAGAGAACCTAGTAATCACATGAACTATGTGCAAGTCAAAGCTACTCCTAAGCTACTCCAGGCAATTCTTTTCTTTAGAAGCAGACGCAGTGGGGATCATATACAACTATCAGTCTTCATTTATGAGAACAGATTTATCTATTAATTAAATTAATTGAATGTTTACATGACTAAATGGCATCTGGTTGGAAATTCAAATGACACCAAGAATAAAAAATTACAGTGATACAAGTTGATTATATAGAACTGCGTATCAGTGAAAGGAATCTGCAATATGAGTGTATCTGTAACATATTACTCAAAAATTTGTTAACAATGTGTAAAACATGCAAAGAAGTCACTTACATCACTGACGTTAGCTGCATTGTATCTAGCTTGGATAAACTGTGGGACATCTGGGGTAAGAGTATATTTATGTTTAACTTCCTCTCCAGAAGATCTGTATAGTTTCTGTAAAATGTATGATACAGAAGTAAGTCCTTCTTTCCCTGTATAGCTAGCCCCAGCTCACTGTAAATTAACTGAGGGTTTATGTTTGATTTTGCAAATAAATGTACATTGCCACCTATCTCATAAAGATCGAGGCTGCACTTTTCATACAGAATTGTTGATTTTATTGATAGAAGGAACATACCCTAAAAGCTCTATGCAGTCTTTACTCAGTAAAATTAAGCCCTTTCATGGACATAAAACCCCATTTCTGAAAGAGTAGGATAATAAGGGATGGTAGGAGAGTGTAACATAAAACAAAGCTTGCTGGTTTGTGACAATGGACATATTGTGATTCATCAAACATTCTGTAATTCATTCATTATTGTAGGTGGTAAAACATCAATAAACAACTTGAAAATTTCACATTTCTTCTATCAAATGTATTTCAAATATACTTAAAATATAAATGGACAGAATCAGCTGATGTGAACTGAAAGAGCCACATGATTTCCATACAGCTTTGCAGACTTATACCGGGAAATTACTCAGGCAAAATCAGAGCACAAAACAATGACAACACAGAGAAACACTTTCAGGCTAACAGTACTTCAGAAAATTTTAAAGACAATGCTCAGCTCTTCAGTAGATACATCTCTACTGTACTATAACACCCATCTCTTCCTCTACTTACCTCATTGAGTTGAGCTGAATTCTGTTTGGCTTGGACCATTACCGGAGAGTCCACCACACTTGTAAATTTAATGGTGTCTGGATGCTGACGATACTTCTTTTCATTCAAGGCATCTCCAGCTTTTTTAGCCTTTTCTACTTCTAGGGAGCCAATGGGGATCCAACCAATGCCTTTCATCCAGTTATTATAATCTGCTTTGTACGCATTCTAATAAAGGAGTGAAAACAATGTTTTAAAAGTTAGGAATTAGAAAAAACAACTCAGGGATCTCTGCTGAGTCTTTACAGTTTTTGCTTGACGCATCTCAAAAAAATTCTGTTCACATGAGGTTTTACTTACATCACTCTGAATCTCCATCATATTTTTGGTCAGCTCCACATTCATTGCATCTGGTAAATAAGTATAGTGGTGTAGGAGGTTCTTGTAATTAGTGTTGCTGGCAATCTCTTGAGCCTTCTTGGCACCGACCACATTGACCATATCCAGTGGAACATTGTACTTAGTTTTTGTTTTCTCATAATCTTTCTTGTACTCTCGTTCAGACTGCATCTTGGCTACCTTCATATAATGAACGAGTTTGGGATCATCTTGGAGGCTCTTGAAGCCAATGAGTTTACCCTTGGCAAGTTCATAGGCTTGTTTATAGTTAACCTGTTAGAATATAATAGAACACGGAGAATATAATCTGAAGTGTAGTAACTTAGTAGTAAGTAAATTAAAAGCAAAGGCTACCCTTTGTTTGCCACAAAGAGTACCCCTCACATTTAAGTCAGTGACCATGCATCTTAACAAAACCAGACACGTATCTCTTTACAATTCACCGCTGCACAAATCAGTTAGCTTTCAAAGTAGTATTATCTCACTTGTACTGATCATAAGAGGGAGAGGAGTCTTAAAATACTAAGGTACTTCCGCGAGGCCATCCCCAAGAATCTACCCAAAAGCCAGTGATGTCCTAGAGTCTTTCATCTCATTTATGATCAGGCCTATAACTAAGGACAGAGAGAATTCAGGGGTCCATTGCTCATGGAGGTGCCACTACTGTCCTACTCATGATTTTCCTTAATCATACTGGAGTGCAAGATAGCTTATTTATTCACAGAGAATGACATAATGAAACGGCCTTTTCTAAATGTAATTATACAAATACATTAGTGAAGCAATGAAACACCAACAAAAATATAACTGTTAAATACATCCAATAACATGCTCAAAAAAGGCAGTAAAGAAGTTACCCTTCAGATATCCTTAATAAACATAATTGCAAACATTGTTTAAGTAAACTCTTTTGAATTAAACAGTTCCTTTAGGAAGCGTATACTTACATCACTGGCAGCCTGCCTAGCAGCCTTGGCAGCTCGGATAGGAATAGCATCACTTTTTAGATCATATCCCCTTGATTTTAATTCCTCCAATCCCACTTTGTAACAGTTCTAGAAGAAAAGGTGAATTTTGAATGAACAGTTTCTAGCTAACAGAAACTTCATATTGTAAGTTCAATCAAGAGCTCTGGATTCAAAATATACTTACATCACTAACATTGTAGGCATTAACTTTAGCCTGTATAAACTGGGGCATATCTGGAGGGAGGTGGTACTTGTGAATAATTTCTTCACCTTTGGATTTATACGTTATCTGCAAAGAAAAATAAAGAAAGAAATTTAGCAGCCCAATGTTTACAGATTGTAAATGCTTAATAATGCTGAGTGACACAACTTAAAGATCTCATGTTACCTCACTCACAAAGACAGAGATGAAATCCTAGTCCTTGCCAAGTGAATGGTATAAACCCCATTGACTTAACTGATGCGAAGAATACATTAAGAATGATGGACATAAACAAAACTACATACCTACACACTAAAAATTGACATGAACAGCCAATTGAAAAACTAAAAAAATCTGATTTCCAGGTGATCTTCCACTGGAACAGAACTGCGAATACACACAAATGTGTTTGTGCTTGTGTGTGTGTATATGCACACACATTCACCTACGCATTCATTTCAGGAGTTCTCTTAAAACTGGATGATAAAGTGAAGGTGGCCAAAGTGCAGAAATTGATAATGTCAGAATGTAGCAACATGTTTTCTAAGTTTACTTACATCACTCAGCTGTTTGCTATTGATCTCTGCTTGCTTCTGTACCGGAGAGTCAGTCACTTGAGTAAATTTGGTTTGATCAGGATGCTTTTTGTAGGTGTGCTGAAGGAAGATAAGAAATATATTTGCAGAAAATGCATATAAGCAAAACTATTTTATAAGACATAGCAACGTAGCATTACTTGGGATAGCTAGCAGTTATGGCATGCGTGTAGATAAGTACTGTCATGTACAATGTTACTTCTTAACATAATCAGAGAGCAAATAAATTTTCAAAAGTATTTTTAAAGAATGTAAAATATATTGAATAGGTATATAAATATTAAAAAGTCTAGTATACATTATAATATATTATACACATTATATTATATACATTTTAGTATATTATATACAAATATATATTTAAAGTATTTTCCAAGTATCGATAAAGTAAATAAAATCAGTATTAATAAAGTAACTAAAGTACTTTTAAAGGATTAATGTAAAAATTAATGGCTTAAGCAGGTAAATGCTTGAGGTTCATTCTTTATTTTGGTACTATTCCTCTAATTTTATGTTTTTACTTGTTAAAAAAAAGATTGTGCTATATCTGTCTTGATCACTAGATGTCACAAAAGGCTCTGAAATACAGATGAATATGGTGTTTAAAAGTCATATATGCTAATAAGGCCAAATTCAGAATCATTGAAGTTAACAGGAATCACTGTAAATTTCTATGTGCCTCAGAAGCAGATACTCTGCATGTAATTGGCTACTTGATAACCACTCCTGTCCTGTACTTACATCTTTACACTGCTCTAACTTCTTAATAGCTTCGTACTCCTGAGTTATGGTCTGAGGGAAGTAGCATTTTGTCTTTTCCTCCTCATAATCTGCTTTGTAATTTTTCTAGGAATAAAATCAACATTCAGTAAGAAACCATAATTGAGCTTTCTCTGAAATTAAAGTATGATGGTGAAAACAGAATGATTACCACACTTACATCACTCTTCATAGCTTCAACTTCCATGCAGTGTGTATAATGTGGATCCTCAAAGCTGCCCAAATAGTGTCCTAAAATATTCTTTTGATATGCATCTTTATACTTTACCTGGAAAAATAATCACAAGTTGATAAACAAAAGTAATCAAGAGTGTCACTACTGAACGATGTAAGATAAATCAAATACATACATCACTAAACTTCTTCAGAACAGTATCAGTCTGGAACTTTGGTGTGTCACAGTAATTCATGCTGGTTCCTTTTGATAGTTCATAGGCTTCTTTGTATAATTTCTGCAAAAGAAAACAATGTCGGATAATGCAGTAGATTTCACTGCAACTCACTCACAACACATTAAAAATGACAAGAGTAAAACTGTGAAATGATTGCAAAGAAAAGCTTTCCCAGAAGACTGAAAAACAGATGGCACTTTTTCCCCAATGATTTTTTAAAAAAACTTTTTTTAGTGACTCTTAGGTTTGTAAGGGAAGACAGAAAGGTCTGACTAATGGTTTTTGAACTTCTGACACTGAGAAATATGCAATCTCTTTCATATAGATGAAAACAGCAAGAAGAGAGAAATCAAGAAAGCCATTACAGTGAGTAACCAGAATACAATATATATGAATATGCAAAAGTACCACATACTCTATCATTATCAGCATCAGCTGAAGTTCCTTAAAACAGTAAGGGAAGAACTGTCATCTTGTGATCCATTTTCCACAGGGATCTAAATGAACTATACAGTAATTAACTCCCCTCATAACATGCCACAGCTATTGTTACACTCTGCTGTGGAGCAATGACTCCTTATCTATACTGTTCTCGTTGGTGGTATCTCATGACAAATATCAGTCTATAAAACTAAAAATACTAAGAGATCCAAAGGAGAAGCCTTGTGAAGAAATGATGAGTTTGGTTTATTGTACATGACTGAAAATCACCCAGCTGCACTTTGATAATACTTACATCACTCAGCACATTTCCTGCAGCTTTTAATTGCCTCAGCAATGGGTTCTCTGTAGCAGGAAGCACATTATAATCTGCAATAGCTTTGTTCTTTTCATAGTCTGCTCTGTATTTTGTCTTTAAAAAAAATAAAAAAGGGTGATGTTGTAAAAATCAGTATTAAAATCAGTATTAAAAGCCAAACACTCACTAACCTATACCATCTTGAAGTTTTCAGGAAAATTTCCTGTTTTTTAACTTATGATTCATGATGGTAAAGGACCATGAAAGGCACTCAGATCACAGGAGTGCATGGATGACGAGATGGGAGGCAGGGTCAGAAGATAAGTGAGAGCTATTTAGTAGATGTCCCCACCTCTAAGCCCCTCTCCAAACATTGTAATTTTTCAAATATCAGTTGACCTCTCAGAATAGTCACATTCTTACAATTAATGACATAAGATTGTCTTTGCTGATGCATATACTATTGCAGAAAATGCAGAAGCCAAACAAATTCTGTATTTTGAACAAAAGATGGGCCAGCACAACATCACTGGGATATGCTGAGCGAGAATGAATAAATATGAAAATACTGAGCCAAATTCAGCTAGCTTAAGTTGGTCTTGGTTAACAGTATTGATTTGTTCCAACTAAAAATCAGGCACATAACATAATCAAAATGAACAATGAAGCAAATTCTACTTCACTGAAAGAAAATTCCACTTCATGGGTACTATCGTGGAAGATCATAAGCATGGCTAGGAGTTGTTATAAGCTTCGTAGTGGAATGCATACAAGAATACATCTTTTGCATATAAGAAAATATTTTTGACACTTGACAAAACAGTTTCAGCACAAACTGGCCTGACTTCAGAACTATACTCAGGCTAAACAAATGGGAGCACACATAACATACCTTACTGACATTATTTGAAACTCGCTTATTAGCTTCATATTCTGGAGTTTCAGTCTGCATAAAGTAGATTTGGTCTTTCATGTTTTCAAAGTCTTCCTGGTATTTTCTCTGTTAGGAACAGAGACCAACAGATAACAATGTATCATATGCACTTACATTATAAATTAGCCATCCACAAAGTAGCTTATTTAGGGAAAAAGAAATACCACAAATAGAGGAGGCAAAATTAATCAGTATTTTCCATGTTAGCATAAACAGAGCATAAAGCTGTTCATTTCAAGATTTTCTGAGGAATTCACTTACCATACTTATATTTTCTGCATTCATTTTCGCAATTGCAACATCATAGCATGGAGTTTGACTCCACTTGCCTTTGATCTTGTTTTTATAGTCCTCGTGGTAAATAATCTATAACGAAATCAAAAAATAAAATTTAATCCCCAAGATACAGCTCAATTTTCACTTGACAGATTTGGTTTTAAAAGTCTTCTTTTTAAAGACTTCACATTTTACATCTGCCTTACAACCACTTTATCAGTTATTGTCAAAAACACCTTAAATATGATATGGCCTAAGCACTTCAGTATTCAGTTAGCATTCTCTTAGTACCTTCCCTGACCAAAAAAAAAGGATAAATAGGTAAACTAAGTCCTTCTAGAAGACAGTTATTCATAAGAAATTCTCTCTATGACACATCACTAACGTATTCCTTTAGTTCTTTTTTCTCACTGGTCACATAATACTGGGACATAATATTGCCCTTAAGCCAGAATTATTGTTATTGCTGCTGAAACTTGTTATAAGCAAACCCTTTTAATATATGGATTGCCTGGTATATATGATTTCTATTAGACTATATTCAAGCACATGGAAATCAAGTATCAACTGTTCAAACAGACAGTTCCTTTCTGTCTAATAACAAAACATCTTCCCGAGTTTTGACTGTGTTCCAAATGCATTTTCAGCCACAGCTGCTTATCACAAAAAATACTTCTCCAATGCCTTTTTAATTGTTACCACTTCGATAAAGAACATATATGCCAAAAATAACCTTAAAAAATTCTACATTTTATTGTTTTAGAAATACCTATATAGCTTTCTATTTTATTCATTTCAAAGAATTATGATACTGATCTTGCTTTTTACATGTCTAAAAATTTTCTTGATGACAATTTAGCTTTTAAACTATGGAAGAATAAGATTAAAGAAATTTTCTCTACATGAAATACTACCTTCTTTCACCTTCCAAACAGGTTCACTACAGTATTTTCTTAGTGGTTTTGGAACCATAAGTGAATACTGTAACTCTCTAATCTTAAACAGCTGATAATTTTCAATACCCAGCAATAAAATCATGCATGTCCTCTTCATAATAGCTAAATTCTGAACTGAGTTAAAATCCTACTTCTGCCTTACAAGATTATGCAACTTAGTTCCAGTTTCTTCAGCAAAAGTTGGTCTTCCTGTATTTCACTTCACCTCCTGCATTCCTCAGCTGTGTTTTATTCTAAGTATACCTAAAATTCATTGACAGGGACTGGTGCCAGAGTCTTGGTTAATCATGCCACACAGTTATGGAATTTAATGTTGAATGTTACTTGTTAATTCAGTGTGCAAATCAGGAAACAGTTATCTAAGTTGCCAGACATTTCCACTGATTAGTATCCATGAACTTAATGCTTGGGATATGTACGTGTCCAATGGTTTGACACTGAAATGAACATTTAGAATGTATTCCGCGCAGTTGACCTAGGCAGCTTTTCAGCAAAATGGAGTTATTCCTTGTAAGCAAGTAACTCACTCCAAAATCAGATATATATTTACATGTCATTGTTTACATTTAAGAGAACAGCAAAACGAATGTTGTTTACTATTTTCTCCTGTAAACACAGAAAGTGTAAAGCAGGAAACAAAAAAAAAAGAGGGAGAATAGGAAGTAATGTGTGTATGGTAGAAGCAGAAATGTTTTGTGAAAACTAAATTCACTGACAAGAATAAAGTTTTGCCTTTCACCCGAGACTGGGCAGGATTTTCTCCAAGACACTTGAGGAAGAAAGGAACTGACTTCTGCCACTGAAAATCAAAGGGGTCTTCATATGAGCTCTGGTCTTTTCTTTTACTTTCCCTTTCTTTAGGTACCTTTTTGGCTCTCCAACTCTAAAAGTGAGGTCTCTACAGAAAGAAGAGCACTGCATTCTACTCACATCACTCAGCTGCCTTGTCACTTTCTTGGCTTGTACCACATCAGGTGGATCTGGCAGAGAAGTATATTTAGATTTTCGTTCATCGTGCCCTTTTTTGTAGACAATCTGAAAATATGAAAGAAGTAAACATTAACAGTAACTACCAACTAAGCATCAGAACATTTACTCTTAACTGTGCTACCACCACCATTAACAAAAGTAGTTCTGGCCACAGCTACTGCAGCATAAACTCTTTCTATCAATGTATTCTGGAGGACTACTGAGAAGTGTCTTGATAAGAGGCAGTGAAAAAGAATCAGTTTCCTGGGAAAGTTTAAGTATATTACTCTGTTGCTCCTGATAAACATGGACTAGTGAACTTCTGGACATCTGCAAAATTCACCGAAATCTTTAAGCGAGACCTGAAATCCTCGGTTGAAGAGTTCTACTTATCTAAGTATCAGCAAATCACATAGCCTCACGAATTCTTGACTTTTCTTATCACTGTTTTAGAGAGACAGATTTGTAGACCCACAACAGTGAACTGGGCTTACAGCCAACCCTGAGAGGTTCGCCACACATTTTGAGAGATACTCGAGGTCTTCTTACTGATTACCTCAGAAGAACTTTAATAAATTAATTATTTCATTCATTCATAATCCAGCATTAAATTGCCAACAAATTTATATTCTAATATAGAGTACATACTTTCCTACTGAAATAGCACTACTATCAGAGCTATCAGTGCACACCTAGGCATTTTCATTTTCTGTTCTGTTATGAAGTTTTTCTATCTAGTCAAAGTCCACCACAAAGACTATCAAGTTACACTGTAACAGTGACCCAACTGTTAATCAGGCTTTGATACTTACATCACTCAGAGTCTTTTGAGCCTGTGCAACCCTTCTGAGCTCTGGACTGTCATTGTATGGATAGAATAATGTTTTGTCTCCTTCCCAGTCTTCGGTATAGAGTTTCTTAAAAACAGAAAAATGCCAGGATACTCATTATGAATTAATCTCTAACTTGGAATGCTTCTTGCACTTCAGCTTCCTAGACATGTGATTTTTTTTGCTTACCTTACTGAACATTGCTGTGTTTTTTATTGCATTCACAAGCTCTGGAGCATCAGGGGGAAGCAGGTACTTGTCCTTATTCTCCTCCCAGTTCTGTTTATATAACACCTGGAAGGAAAGATCAGCACGTTGGTTACTCTATTATTAGAAAAATATTTAAATTTGTGAATAAACTACCTGCTCTAGAGATTTTTTCAAAGTGAAAGTCTCAAACCAGTGACTTTTGAAGACACCAATTGGAAATATTTAAGATTATACTTATACTTGCTTTATCAACTTCTCTGCTACCTCTCCCTGTGCTTCTAAACTGTTCTATAAACATTGCTTTAGTGCCCTGAGCTCAAAACTTTATTCATATCAGTAATCTCATGATCCACTAATGTTCACAACCCTTCCAGAAAGTCAGAACTCGCTCACCTTGCTCACTTGCTGTGACACCTTCTTTGCATGTTCTATATCCTTGGCCTTTTCATCAACGTGGCAAATAGTTCTGGCAACTTCACCAGCCATGCGGTATTTAACCTAGATCAATGCACAACAAAACACATTTATGCTTACAGCAAAAACTGACAGCTTTTTTTAAAAGCAGAATATTGACATTTTTATACTCAATACTGTAAACACCCAAAATCTGAATTCAATAAAGATTTAGGACTAGTTGTTCCTTAGAAATGAAGCCTATGGAAACAAATGGATTTTGTGAATTAACTGAGAAAGAAATGCAGCTTTGAGACAATTAGTCTCAAGAGGTGTGAATCCAACTTAGAGGTAGTGCCCTTCTGTAATCACACAGTTCTTTCTAAGAGTACTTCCACCCTGTATAATGAGATAGAGACATCCCCGTGCTATGCAGTATATCTCAATTTCACAGCCCATTACCATGTAAACACTAGCTGTAGTGCCAAAGACAATATAGCCACATTACCATGGCAAACCAGCAGCTTGGGCACAAAAATCATCCTAATGCGGTTATACCACTCCCAGCTTGACAGCAGGCTCAATCAGCATTAGCGCATGGATTACTGCATCACATTCCTCAATATATCCTAAGTCAGGAGTGGAGTAGAATTTAATGCACACTCTTCTCCTGAACACCGGTTAGGTTAGGTGACTACCCTTTCAACTTTAGGGGTTGCCATTCCTAGGGACTCAATTCTCCCTATTTACTGTATGAAGAATTAAGAAGCCTTTCCAGGTGGATTTCAGTTTCCCAAACTGTGAGGTATATTGTTGAAAGGTAGACTAGCGTTCCTTAAAAGAAAGAGGGGAGGATGAGCTAGCTTCCAGAACTAGAGGCACTGCATCAGTGGGGCAATTGTACTTGGTCTAGCTTTCAACGGCAGATCACTAAGAGTGGGATTCACACAGAGGGGACAACACATCTTGGACAATCCCATAGTAAGTGACAAGATGTACAGAAGTTAATTTTGCAACACTTGGAGCATCTAAGCATCATTTTTCCGGTATCTCTTTAGGAAACTGACTTTCAGTTGCTTTATGAAAACAAAAATGTTTAAACACATTTTAAAAACAAAATTCTAGGGTTATTTACCCAGCACACAACTTAACCTCAACAAAAATTCATCAGGCACATCATTTACAATGACTGCAGGACATCATGTGTGGAATCTTCAAATTCAATGATATGGGCATCACCATCATCTCCCGTGCCTGTAACTTCTGATCAGAAATGTTCAAACCTCTTTAGGGACAATGAAGCAGGGCTATTATTCAGCTAGAAAGGAACCATCACATCTCCCTTCCTGAAAGGCCTAAATTCAAACCTACATCATAGAACTCAAATTTGTCATATACTCTGTATTTCTCATTCTTGTAATCTGATAAAGTTTCTGCTAAACGTTCAGATTGCCTTATCACAATATAATCAAAAAAATATCACTTCTTATCTAACATTTAAAATTGTGACTTAATTTGCTCCTTTACCACTTGATAAATATTTTTTTTTTATGACAATTGTTACCTACCTCACTGAGCTGGTCTTGCACTTTCTTGATTCTCCGAATTTCTGGGGTATCAATTGTGGAAGCATATGGCTTTCCTTTTTCTTTTCTAAATTTTTCTTTGTACTTGTTCTGAAAGAAAATAATGACAAAAATAATTAATACATATCCTAAAGCTCTGGCAGAAATGTATGTAGCAATTATTGATTTACTTAAGTGGTTAGTATAGGAATTTGGGGTAGATTATTCAATAATACAAACTAGCATTACTCAATTACATTTGCCAAGTTATGCTCATTTTAGCCAACTGACTTTCTTCCATCTGACACAATAGAAAAAATCCATTTCTAACTTTAGCCTGGTTTAGATGACCCCTAATTGATTATATTCTCTGGGGTTTATTTCCTTAGGCACTTAGTATTGATAAATTTACAGTCATTTGTTTCAGTGACCAAAGATAAGGAAAATATGTGGGTGAGGGTAGCAGTCCTAGACCTATGATCTCACATAATCCTTTAACAGTGAACACTGGTAGGTAATATATATTAACACTGGTAGGTAATATACATTACATTAACATTTAGGAAAAGGGATCTGACACCATCTACATCTGCGCAGAGCAGCCATTTTCCACTTTTTACAACAACCTACAGTATTGGTCTACTGGACTTTGGTATCCCGTACCAGGAATTTAGGTTGGTGCTTGCTCCTATATACTGTGCACAAGGATTTTTCTTGGATATATATAGAAGGATAGAGAAATATACTCTTATAAAAAATACTGAGGTTTGCTATTCAATAGACATTAGTCCGTTATCTTCCTTCACTCGGATATCCAAGTCAGATAGTGCAGGAGTCCTATTAACTGACATCTCTGACAATCTTCAGCCATCTGTCTCGAGCCACTTTTTGTGCCTAACAATTACCTAATGCACTTAAGCAGGAAATGGGCAAGACACTGGCTAATTCAAAGAAGCAAATAACACTAATACACATCATGAAATGAAGTACAGGAGACAAAATAGTAGTATGAAAGTTTGCAATAATACCTATTAAATATTTTTAAAGTTGGTGTTCCTCAAGAAATAAAAGACATGGGACAATTTACCTCACTGAATAGGTCCTTCATTTTATTACTATGTTGCAGATAAGGCGTCAAAAACTTAGATGGGTCCACTTTTGTTCGTATTGTCTTCTTTCTGACTGGAGGTGCTGCATCCTCAACAGAAGGTTTTTCACGCTCAACAGTATAGGTGGTGGTAGTTTTAGGACCTGTGAAGTCTGTGCTAATGGTCTCAATGATCTCAGTGACCACCTGGGAATAAAGAAAAAAAATAATTACTTGCTTTATAACTATAAATCATCATTTTATGATAAGCATTTTTCACCTTCCCTATGTAGTAAAAGTATGCTCAGTTCTTATCCAGGAACCACCTGCAAGACAGAAAATCAGTGAGACTTTTCCTACTGGGATTACCCAGTATCCCTACTATACATCACCCAACCTAAAAAAAACCACAAGGAATTAACTGACTGGCTGATTTCTGTATCAAACTCATGTAATTATTCTCCAGAGGAGCTGGAAGAGTGGGGCTTCTGTTGTCTCTGTTCTATATGCATGACTTCCACTGGCATCAGGGGAGTTCTCAGGTGGGACCACCGGCTGCTAAAACCAAAGCGTAGAAACGTTCTCGGTGCTGAAGTCGTGTTGAAGACACACGTCGCACGGCCAGGGCTCCTAATCATGTCACCAAAAGTTATGAATGCAGGTCAAAGGTGCATACAGTCATTCAAAAAGATTATCTTCTTCTTGCAAAAGGAAAGGAATGGACATAGCAGACAGACAAGACCAAGTCTTTGGGATCTTGTAGTAAGTACACGATGCACCAGCTGACTGAACAAATACCTAGAATCCACTGTCTACTAAACTACATTTTCTCATAGCCAGATCACAATCATGGCAGAGACATAGCTGAGATACTTATATAATCAATTGATATGGCATCCATTGGAAATAAGCCCTTAATTAATTTAAATGGTTTATGTACTTGTTTATCAACATATTCCTGCTGTAAGCAATAATTTTAATACTAAGATTCTAACTAAAAGCATTTAAAAATAATTATTACAACTTAAAAATGTGCTCCAAAATCACCTGAATAAGTGTCAAGTTTTATTTCATATGAATTAGCTTAAAAAAAAAAGCGCCTTTAAAAGGGAATGCATGAAGCTGAGATTTCTGATAGCTATTTGCATTAGTATGAGGCAGACCAGAAAATGCACCAAGCATTAAACACTAAATTGAGAAGTGTAAACAAACCTTTTGTAATTTATGTGAACATTAATTGCATTTCACTAATGCTGTCCCACGATGTTATTAGTTACTTCAGCACTGCCACAAGTGTCTCTCTTACAACCATTTTCAAACATACAAGTATTCATCTAAATTTTGGCACTGAAAGCACTGGAGAGTTTGAAACCTGTCTAGGCGAACACTGAGAACAGCACTACCTGCTGTTAGCTTTATAACAAACAGTGAAGCTGTGTGCTTTTATAAAAAGTTGTAATGTATTTCTAAAACTTGGAGAGGCTTGATTCTGAAAATATGGCATTTTGTGCAAAACAATGCTTTTATTTTCATATAACTCATAGGACCACATGACGCTAATGAATTAGACTAAAGGTCTAAACACATTAGCTAGAAAGACATTCGTGCTCATATGTAATTCTTCATTCCACAATACTGTTTTCAAAAACTGATGCAAATCAGACACAGAAATAATCAGTCATGCTATTGCTCCCTTTAAATCCAGTCTGGCTACGGATTTTAGAACACTTGATGAACGCAGTGGATTAATTAATCGTAAAATAATAAGATGGCACTTCCTTCAAAAGTGTAGTCCTAGATTACTCACTCAAACAGTATTAATCAAATCGTATTTATTAAATTAAAAATACAGGAAGACTTTGGGAACAGATCCTTTGTTTGGAAGGAAACACACTCACAAAGTGAAACATTAAGTTTTTGTTTCCGCATAAGCCTATGCCATAAAGAGTATTTTATGGTAACATAGCAGAGAGTTGGGTTGTATCTACATTATAAGTAGAATTTCAAATTATGGTAATAACTCCTTGGTGACTCAAATATTTGTTACCAATGACATTAAAAAAAAAAAAAATCTGCAAACCACCACTTTTTGGTGAAATTACACAAGGTGAAGGGAACAGAACTGATACATGTAAACTGGTTTCAGGCAGAATCTCTTTATATTTCTCTTCCTAACAAGCTTAAGTGTAATGCATGTTTCTGCCTGTTGTTCATATGTACATATCTAGTCACATTCACATCCTCGATAATTCTGTTCATCTTTAACACTAATGATTGGCTTCTGTCAACGCTACCCAAGTAATCTTCCTGCCTGTGTTTCTTGTTATTAACGTAACCTGTTGCTTCATTTTGTCAGCTCCTGTGCAAACAGCTGCTGGGCAAGAGCAAATGGAAGACTATCAGCAAGACACAGGGCAAGACAGAAATTAGCACAGTCCTTTTCTGATGGACACATCCACAGTCCCTTCTAATGGCAACCAAAGAGTGGCAGATAGGATGCTCAGAACAAGCTAGGAGTCCTTTAGATCATCCCACAACAGGGTCTTGCAGAGGAAATAAAGTATTAAGAAGCAACTGTTCACTGATATTTGTGTGTTTAAGATGAAAAATTAGTCCTCAGAATACAAAAGGCCACTAATTTAGCATTATGCATTAATTACATGCATATATACACCACATGCAATGTCACAGGGACCTTTACCTCATGTGGTTCACCCTCCTCAATAACTGTCTCTTCAATGTAGTACTATTAAAAAAAGAGAAAAAAAATCATTGTTAGGCCAAATCATATAGAATAGCAAATTGTAGCTTCCGTTGAGCTGTTTTAAAAACACACTTCTGGAGAAATAGGACTGTAGTCCATAGGCACCTATGTAGTCACATTTGCATCCTTGGTAATTCTGAACACCTGTTCATTTTTTGCATTAATGTTTGGATTTTTTTAATACCGTCCTGAATTAATCATCCTCCCAAGTAATTAATGAAGGATCATTATCTAATTTTACCTGCAAAAGGGAAGACAATGATGACCACACTAAAAGAAAGAATCAGCATTCCAAAACCTAGGATTTTCCAAGTGTTTGGTAATAGGCTGAGAGGACTGTAATAGGTTTCTCTCTCCAAGGCTGCCCTCAAGAGTTGTTCCTACCTACAGATCCTTGAAGGACACCAATAATTACTGGCTGCCAGCTAGACTTTGTACTACTGATCACAATTCTGAGCTCAGCAGCCCAGTCAATTTTCCACCCACTTTATTGTCCACTTATCCATCCCACATCTCATTAATTTGGTAATAAGAAGACTATGGGAGACTGTTTCAGAGTTCTTCCTAAAGTAGTCAAGGTATGCAACATTCACTGGTATCGTATGCAACATTGACTGGTCTCCCCTTGTCCATAGCAGCAGTGAACTCATTATAAAAAGCAATGAGTTTGGTCAGCCATGATTTGCCCTTGATAAATCAATGTTCACTGCTCCCCATGACCTTCATGTCTTTCACGTGTTTGTAAATAGCTTCTAAAAGGATTTGCTCCATAGCCTTCCCCAGGACTGAAGTGAGGTTGACCAGCCTGTAGTTCCCTGGATCTTCCTTCTTGCCTTTCTTGAAGATGGGTACGACATCTGTCTTTTTCCAGTCGCCAGGAACATCCTTGCATCACTATGAGCTTTCAAAGATGATAGCAGCCTTGCAATGTCATCAGCCTGTTCCCTCAGCACCCCTGGATCAATCCCCTCTGGTCCCACAGAATTATGTACATCCCAGTGGGTTAAAGTCATCCCTAACTCTGTCTTCCTCTGCTGTGGCTACTACTTCACTCCCACATCTCTGCTAGGAATCTCAAAGATGTCGAAGACTATAGGACAAGCCTTCTCAAACCTGAGGCAAAAAAGGCTTCATGTACCTCAGCATTTTGCCTGTTCCTTGTCACTAGCTTCCCTGCCCACTGTACTATGGTCCCACACTCTCTTAGCTTTCCTTTTGCTGCTGATGGCACTTGCAGAAACCTTTCTTGCTGTTCTTCACTTCCCTTGCTGGCTTCAGCTCCAGCTGACCTTTGCCCATGCATGTAGGAATGGAGTTTATAATGTCTTATGTCTTTATGTTCCTCCCAAGTGGCCTGCTCCTGCTTCCACCATCAGCATACTTCTTTTTTTGTGTTTGAGCTCAGTCAGGAGCTCCCTGTTCATCCATACCAGCCTTCTGCTGTGTTCAACTTCTGCACATTGGACTGAACCATTCTTGAGAAAATTGTTCTTGAGGATCAGCCAGCTCCCCTGGGCCCCTTTGCCCTCCAGGGCTGTTTCCCATGGGATCTTCCCAAGCAGGTCCCTGAACAGGCCCAAATCTGCTCTTCTTAAGTCTGGGATTGTAATTCTGTTTATCTTGCTCACTCCTCTCTGAATCTTCAACTCCACAGTCTCGTGGTCACTGCAGCCATAGCTGCCCTTGACCTCTGCATCTTCCAGCGGTTCTTTCTTGTTTGTGAGTAGCATGTCCAGCAGAGCATCTCTCCTAGTTAGTTCATCAATCGACTGCACCAAGAAATTTATCTTTGGTACTTTCCAGAAATTTCCTAGGTTGCTTGTGCCCAGCCATAGGCCCTTCCAGCAGATACTGGGGTGGTCAAAGCCATCCATAAGCACAGGGGCTCTGCCTGTGAGGCTTTCTCCACCTGCCTAAAGAACTACTCTGAAGTGGCAGATCTGCAGGTGGAGCACAAACCTTCCTCCTGTTGCTGGAAACCATGAGCTTCCTGCCTTCTCCATCCTGACAGCCACCTTCCATCACCCATTTAACCAGGGTCTCCAACTGGCACTCCTTCCTTGCCATGTGTGGCTCTGCCTCTTGCTTTTCATGAAGGCGCTGTCAGCCTCTTCTTCATCTTCCATGATGGCACAAAGCCTGCTCACCTCTTCCTTCAGCAACCTGCAGTGCAACCAAGTGACCTGACCAGAACACCTCTCCCACTGGAGAGGCAACAAGGGCTATGTCCCTGCCTGCAGCGCTCTGTGGGCTTTGCTCCCCCGCTGGCAGCTTCGCTTTCCCCACAGCGGCCGGGAGCCGGAGGCGCCAGAGCCCGCTCGGACCGGAGCCGCTGTGCAAACGCAGAGCCCGCCGCCGCCCTGCTCGCCTCACTTGCCGAGGCCCTCTCTGAGGCGCCGCTCGCGGCCGCACA